ATTATCGAGCGGTTGGTCAGAAAGAGGGTAGTGTAGGTGGGATTTACATATGAGATATATGCATTAGCCTCCGGCATAAGCTCTGAATCACGATCTACTCAATTTTGCAAGTACAAATCTTGCAATCACCTCAACATCAGTGAAGGAGATCCATATAAAAATCGCGACCTACCTTTCCATCGTTCACAGACTCCACCGTTGTCTCGGCTACTCCGGCAACATCACCGCCAGCAAATACCCAAGGAACATTCGTCGTCTGGTTGGTCCTATCTACTTCAGGAAGACCTCTCTTGCTCACTTTCACAGGAGACATTGCTTCAATTACTGCAAGTTCTCAATCTTAACGATACAGGCGCAAGTAGGTTTGTAATTCTAGCAAAAGTGGAAATATTGAAGTGGTTGTCGTTCATTTCTATCAAAACTCACCATCCTTATCCAAAAGAGTTGATCCAAAAGCAGAGATGACATAGTCTGCTTTTATGGTAAGAGTTTGCTCTTCGTCCTCGAACCTAACATAAAATATGTGATTTTTTGAAGTTTTTTACAACAAGATTACAGAAGAGCTTACTGAGTATTTTACAACAACATACCAGTTTCCACTATCATCTTTGTCTGTTTTGACGAATTTCATCGACACTATTTTACCGTCCTTAATATTTACAACCCTCGGTGCACAGTACGGCAGAAACTCGCACTTCTCCTCTCGAGCAGCATCCATCTTAAAAAGATTTTGATGATTGGATTAAGCAGAGTTACGTGGCCTTTCAAATTGGCAGAGAGAAGTTACAGAAGCGCAATTTCAACGTCTCCGAGACGATTGTCTGATTTTCTCGCTTAATAGATTTGCTGATGAGAGAGGCTAGACACAGACCCTCAGCAAATTACTGGTGGGTGGTTGGTACGGAGAAAGGAACCTCTCAGTAGTAAGGTTTTTCACAATCAGTTTGTTATCTCTTCATATTAGCTAGGATATTAGCTTTGCTAGAAGACATACTACATCAATGTAGCGAGGACCCAAAAATCGTTTTTGCCTGAGCACCGCCTTCAAAGACTGTTTTAACAAAATCAGGCTGTTTTTTAAGTTTTC